GACGAGCCCCGCGCCGCCGCGCCTCGGGTTGCGAGCGCTGTTCCCGAGGAGCATTCGGTTCCCGAAGGGCCTCCTCCACCCCCGTGTGCGCAGGTTCCCACCGGTCGCAGGCGAGAGCATGGCAGCCATCCCCTCCAGCGGCTCGCTCGTGGCCACCCACGACTACTACCGGCGTAAGTAAGCCCGTTGCCCACCGCCCCACAGGCCTGACCGGGCTGCTCCCCCTTTCCTCCAGCCCCAGCCCCTTGAGAAGCCCTGTCTGCCTGGGGAGTGGGCCGCGGCTGGAGCTGATTGCCTCTCCTCGCCAGGCCGCCTGGGTTCCACTTCCAGTAACAGCTCCTGTGGAAGTGCTGAGTACCCTGGGGAAGCCATCCCCCACCACCCTGGTGAGTGCAGCAGGTCCACTTCCCTTCTGTCTCGGAGCCGTCGGTAGGGGTCCCCCAGGAGTGGCAGCAGCACTGTGACCCCACTTTGTTTCTCTCAGGTCTCCCCAAGGCCGACCCGGGTCACTGGTGGGCAAGCTTCTTTTTTGGGAAGTCTACTCTCCCATTCATGGCCACAGTGTTGGAGTCCCCAGAGCAGTGAGTCCACCACCTTCCCAGGGGCCAGAGAGGGAGGCAGGGCAGGTGGGAGCAACTTCTGACCACACTCTCTCCCCTAGCTCGGAACCTCCTCAGGCCTCCAGCAGCATGATCGCCTGTGACCTGGCTCGGGAAGCCACAAGGAAGCAGCCTGGCGGCCAGCCTGGCAAAGCCAACACCAGGTCCCCATCCTGAGTGGCCACCACCAGCCACCAGATTTCTAGGGGCGCCAGGCTCTTTTGAGCCCCTCCCCCTGTATCTCTTTCTCCCCTCCTCACCTCACCCCATAGAATAGGCAGGCTGCAACAAGCAGAAGCAATGGGTTCTTTTGTAACAAAACAGCAAAACACCAAAAAGAAGTTGAGAGAGCCCTGCTCTTTACTACCCAAGCCACACTCGAGCCTTCTGACACCCTGTAACCGAGTGCCTTGCACCAAGTGGAAAATAAAGGACAAGCAGCCAGCATCCCTGATGGTGCTCATGAGCTGTGTGTGTCCCAAGGCTGTGGGAGAAGTCATCCAACCCCTCTCAAGCTCCTTACTTCCTGGTGGGGGTGGGGACCTGGCCCTGCCCCCTGGACCTTCCTGGGGACCCTTGCTTGGGGCGCTACCTCTGAGGCCTGACCCAGATTCCCCACCCTCAGTGAGTTGCTCTGATGAGTGTACCTAAGAAGGGATGGACACCTGGGAGAGCAGGTGGTCCAAGAGCTGCACAAGCCAAGGTCCTCTGGGTAACTAAGCCCTGGCCCCTTGGCCTCTGGGAAGCTGGACCTCTGGCAGTGGGTTTGGGAGCTGTCAGCTGGAGAGGCAGGTGCCCCTTAAAGGACCTTGATGGGGCCTTCTCAACACCAGAGAGATGGCGGCTATTCCTCCCCACCAGTGTGAGATAAGCACTGAGCCACGCTGTCTCCCATAAGTGTCTCACCTTCTCTAGCCCCTTGTAGGATACACTCTGGGCAGGGCCTCCCAACCCAGGAGGGGCAGGTCCATGGCCCCCAGGCACCCAAAACTAAGGCTGAGGGTAGGGGGTGTGGGGATGCTCCAGAGGGGGCCTTCCCACCACAGGCAGCCCAGCTTTGGGCAAAGTTCAGCTCAGAGTTGGGTAGGGCGGTTGTGCAGTCTGCTTGCCTTGTGTCCACAAGCCTCCAGTGGCTAGCAGAGAATGACCCAGTTCTGTTGGCCAGCTGAGGGCTCCTGGATTGGGCAGCTTAATGGATGGGGGCTTGATGTGTGGTGGGGCTCATCTGGCCCCTGACGGAGCTCTCCTCTCCTGCCCTCTCTCCCCTGCCACTCTGTGCTATAGATGGCTGCATGAGTCCATTCCAAGGCAACTGGGGGGCTTGTGGCCCCCAAGGGTGGCAGCGGCCTCTGTCTTGCCTGCCCTCCATGTGTTCAGACAGGCTGGGGGCAGCTTCACCCAGGCTCCCTTGTGGGCCCAAGGCCGTTGGTCACTGCTGAAGTTGGGTGGGCAGGTGCCCCACCCAGTCTATTTGGCCATAGCGTCCCGTTGAGGCCCCCAGAGCCTTTGAAGGCAGCTCCTGATTACAGTGGCAGGAAGATGGGGACATCCGCCTGGCCCCAGGATGGCAGGCAGCAGTGCCCAACCACCAAGCAGCCCCTGCCTGCAAGAGTGCTGGGGAGTCTGTGTCCAGCCCCAAGATGGGGGGGAGAGGTTAGGCAGGGGCCAGGTGGTAAAGAGGGCATGGCCAAGGCTCAGGCTCCCACCATGCACTGCCCCAAAGGGCCAAGCCCTGGTCCTGACAGCTGGTGGGCAGTGGGCCAGTGCCAGGGACAGTTTCGCTCCCTGTTCTTAGATGGTTCCTAGTTGGGAGAGCCTGGCACGTTCCTGGTGCTGCTGTCTCAGAAGAGGAAGTCTCAGCCCCAGATGGCAGAGGGTGTCTTCTGCCCCAGGACAGGGCAGCCCTGGCTGGAGGAGCTTCCTGCCTGGGTCTGGGAGCTGTTGGTGCTTTTTGCCACCTCCAGGTGGTGGGGAGGGCCCCGCACTCAGATTGGGTTCTCGTATCTGGTGAAGCTGGAGAGCTTCTCCCGCAGGGCTTTGAAGCAGGGCCTCTTCTCGGGGTCCCTGTGCCAGCACAAGAGCATCAGCTTGTGTGCAGTGGGCGGGCACTCAGGGGGGCAGGGCATGCGGTAGCCTGAGTCCACCCTCACGAAGGCCTCATGGTTGGACATGCCTGTGGAAAGTGGGACAAGCAGGCTGTGGCAGCTGGGAGGCTGGTGCCTACCAACTATTGCACCTCCTGGGAAGCTTTGGGCCACACTCACCCTCTGCATGCCCCACACCCATTTCTCAGACCCTACTCCGGACAGTGCTCAGGCGCTCAGAATGGTGTCCAGGTGACAGCCCTCTCCCACCTGCCCACAGTCAGGGGCACTGCTGGGGCCCAGTACCTGGATAGGGCGTCTGACCCCTGCTGAAAATCTCGTGAAGGAGAACCCCGAAGGACCAGACGTCAGACTTGACAGAGTAGTGCCCTCGGGAGAGTGCCTCGGGGGCGGTCCACTTGTAAGGGATGCTGCGGTCATGGGAAAGGTAGATGTCCTCCTGCAATCAGTCAGACACGGAGGAGTGAGGGGGGCTGCCTGCTCCCCAGAGCACCGACAGGCATGTGGTGTCCACATGTGGGGCAGGTAAGCAGCTGCCCTGCCTGGAGCTTGGGCACTGTCTGGACACAGGTTGCCACTAGAGGGAGATGCCGCCGGCCTTGGGCCTTGGGGCAGAAGGGAGGACAGGCAGGTGGCAGAGCTGGGAAGTCAGTGTCAGGAAAAGGGTGTCTCCTCCCAAAGGGAACCCAGATATGGGGCAGTGTGAGCCCCAGTAGCACAGTGACCACTATGGTGGAGCCTGCAGATGTGTTCAAGCTCATGAGCTCAGAGATACCAAAAGAAAGGCTGACTGGCCACTAGGAAAACTTGAAAAGGCTGCAGAGTCACAGTCAGCCTGCCTTCCCGAGTGACCTGTCCCACTGCTGGCCACCGGGTGGGTGAGGGAAATGTCGCGATGAGGAAAGAACCACAGAAGCAGCAGTGGGTTAGCAGAGCCTCGAGCAGTCCAGCAATTGCGTTGGTCCACTTGAGGAGCAAAGAAATGGATTCATGGCGTTTGCAAGAATGTGGAAATTGAGCTCTGAGGGGCACACGATGACTTTGAAGATTACAGTTAATTTGTAAAGGTGTGATTGTGGTGTGGCTGTGTGCTGATTTGGGGTCCTTACATGTATGAAGTGTGTACACGCCAGGGCTGTGGGTGGGGCTGGGCAGGCCAGCGGGTATGAATGTCTGATGGAGGGGCCCCAAAGCACATTGCATAATTCTGACGACATCTGTCTTCCACATTCTCCACAATAAAAACACTTCTTTGAGGGGTGGGCGTTGGGAGATGTTTGCCCTGAGCTCACAGACAACACCTAGCCTCTCCTGGCTGAACCGCAGAAGCTGGGGCAGCGACACTGAATTAAGGGGTGAGCAAATGAAGGCTGGTTCCCTGCTTCTAGGACCCATCCAGCAGAGACTTTGGCTCCTCCAACATGCCCCAACAGCCTCTGGGCACCTGTTCTGGCCCCATGTAGCTTCCCTTTCTTCCTGTGTTTCCTGGACTGGCCAGGTGCTGCCATCTCCCCTCCGGCTCCAAAAGGCCCCATGAGCAGCTTCCTGTGTCCCACCTCCCAGAGCTGCAGCCCTCAGCTCCCGTCCCAGCTCAGGTACCCCATGGGAGCCCCCAGCTCCGAGCCCAGAGGAAGCCCTGCCATGCCCCAAGCTGGCCGCAGCCGCACCTTGATGAGCCTGGCCAGCCCGAAGTCCCCCACTTTGCAAATGTTGTTCTCTCCCACGAGGATGTTCCTGGCAGCCAGGTCCCGGTGAATATAATTCTGTGACTCCAGGTAGCACATGCCCTCAGCCACCTGTGAGGCAATGTCCACCAGCTCCAAGACCGGCAGGGCTTTCTCATCGGACTCTGCAGAGGCAAAGGGAGCGGGGTCAGCGGGCGGGGCGCCCTCTCTGCCATGCCTCTTCTGGCTCCTGGCTCAGGGCGCAGGCCGCCTGATTTAAAATTGAGACAGCGGCCCCATGCAGCCCTCTGGGAGGCAGTTCTGTGTCAGCCCAAACGTGGTTCATGCACATCTTTGCACTTCTGGGAACCTGAAGTAAGGTGCTGGGGACTCCAAGGTGTAAGTAAAGAGGCCCCTTCACAGTGCTATTTACACGAAGGAAAACCTTGAAAAGGTCCAACAGGCCACCCACTAGGTGGATGCAGCACACCTGTGTGTGTGGGGGGGGGGGTGTAGACTGTCAACAATCATTTCTGAACAGTCAATGACATGGGACAGAGGACAGTGCCTGCAAAGTGCCAGCTTCTGTGAGCAATTCCACATTCAGAGTTTTCCAAATGTTGGTCAGTAAAACTAGATCCCGGTGCTCGCATCATGTACCGGACGCCCCTCATCCTACAAATCACCTTTCTTCTCGTCTCAACATCTCTGACATTGAGCCATCTCAGCTCATCTGCAGCCGCTATCTGGCTGGGTGTTAAGTGAAATCATGGGACTTGTCACAGAGGATAAGACTGCCCAGGTAGCTCTGGGTGCAGGAGTCAGGAGGGCTTTTCTTATCGTATTTGTCCTTATTGTTTCTCTCTTTTCTCAAATTCCCACAATGAACAGGTGGTACATTCATCACAAGAGATTTTGCACATTTCTTAAACAGGAAAGGCCTGACAGCCTCAAGAGAGCCCTGGCGTCCTGTGCATGGTGTGGGGGCAAGCAAGCTTTTCTTTTTCTTCCTTAGAGCGTCCTTCCTGTCTGCCCCGCCCCCCGGCCCCTGCGACCAGGTATCACTGATCCCTGAAAGCAGCCGTGTGCCACCACTGCCACTTACCCCGCAGGAGCTCCAGCAAGCTCCCCTTGGCCATGAGCTCCGTGATGATGTACACAGGGTCCCCCACGGATGCCACGGCGTACAGTGCCAGGATGTGCTTGTGCCGAAGCTTCTTCATGGCCTGGATCTCCGCCTGGAATGTGTGCTGGTGCAGGAGGTCGTCTGCAGGGATGGGCAGCTCAATGAGTGCAGCCCCAACCCACCCCCCCTCAGTAAACATGGGTGTACTCCTGAGATGCCCAGCTCCCAAGGCCAGGGTACCCAGGCAGACACAGCCCGGTCCCAAGTGCCCCAGCACCCCACCTGGTGTCTCCACTGTGCCCACTCTCTGCTCTGACCACATCCCAGGCACCCTCAGTACCCACTTTGGCCCACACTTGCCCAAGCCAGATACACATGTTCCCATGCACCCTGGGCCCCTGGTTCTTGAATGTGGGATCCCAGCCCCTGGTGCTTCCCAAGGAGATTACAGGTGAATCTGTCAGGTTTCTAGCAATCTAGTGATTTTAGTGGCTTCCCATTTAAGAATTTACCACACTGTTCTGGCCAGTGTGGCTCAGTGGGTAGGGCATCATCCCATACGCCGAAAGGTTGCCAGTTTGATTCCGGGTCAGGGTACATGGCC